TGCAGGCCCAGGGAAGCCTGTGATTCATTAGCATCCTGATTAATATGCAGCTGCTGAGTATTAAGAAAAATGAAATGGAAAGGAATAAATCCCCAAAGGAGAGGTTGGAAAAAATCAAGAGGCTCTCTGCAGACATCTGATGCAGGCCCTCGTCCCACGATGAAATTTGAATGAGCTGAATTCAAGTGATTTTTCACCATTTGCATAGCTGCCATGAAGACTCGTTCCAGCCTCGTCCCTCGAGCCTGTGAAAGGAGCGGCTTTGAACTGGTAGCAGCTCAAGCAGGTTGTGAGCAATTACACAAAAGAAGCACCTGGTTATATCATTGATTCTAATTTCAGGATCCTTACAGTGTCGGGACAACAAGGCAGCCGTGGGCACAAGGAGGCTTGTGAGCAGGAAAGTTCCACCCCGCTCCGGCAGTAGTTCATTCATTTAGGTATGCAGCGAATACTTGTGCTGCCTGTGGGATGGGTGGACTGCAGTCCCCACCCTGAGCATGCACGGTGCCCTGGAGGGAAGGGATGTGTGTAAATTGTGGCAGCGTTGCAATTAGTAAGTGAAGCTGTGGTGGGGGTGCACTGGCAGAAGCTCCAAATGTTGCCTCGTGAAGTTGGCAGAAAGGGAGTCATTTCAGGCAAAGGCTGATGGGTTTGGTGAAATCGTGGAAGGTTCCAAATTGCTAGGAGTGGAGGGTGGAAGGAGAAGGTGGAGGCCAGGGCCCTAGAAGGTCTTGTGTGCTGCTAGGAAATTCACTTGATCCCGTGGCTGGCGGGGTGGCTCTCGTAGGCTGTGGAGCAGGAGTGGGACATCATTGCAGTTCTGAGGTCATTAGGGCCCAGGTGAGAAATGATAGGCATGAGGTTGCAAAGGATTAGGTGGGGAGGACAAGATAGATTTGAGAGAGATTAAGGAGGTAGAAATGAGAGGATTTCATGACAGGATATGGAGGGACAGGGAGAAGCCGGGCTCCAGGCTGACTGCTAAGTTTCTGCTTGGGAACCCGGTGGCTTTTGGTGTCATTCACGGAGCAGGGAGGGAGGATGAAATTGGGGTAGGGGGAAGATAGTGATGTTGGTGTGCAAATTCGGAGTTTGAGATGCCTCTGGGACAGCCAAGTGGAGAGGGCCCTGAGGCTGTCGGGTGTGTCATTGGGAGCTCAGGAGAGAGGCGTGGGCTGTGGATGGTAAATTTGGGGGTCATGGAAGTGTGGATGGTCATGAAAGGCCTGGCTAGCCATTCATTCATTTACTCGATGCACCTTTATTGCTCCTCCCACAAGGGGCAGGTACTGGGGACAGCAAAACGTCTTTACGAGAATGCTCAGGGAGCCTTTAGTTGGTCTGTTGTTTTCTGGCTGCTGTAAGTGTTTGCTATAAAACACCTGCCTCAGTCAGTGCCGCGCTTTCCCGTCCTGACAAACCCATTGGACACGAAGTCCTGCCTTGGAGGCGGGTGAATTTGTGTGCTTTGTGTGAAGCCAGAGGAGGGAGGAATAGATCAGAGGGAAGGTGTCCTTCATTCATTCCACAAACAATGGAGGACTTACTATGTACTGGATGCTGGGAATGCGGAGATAAATGGGACTCAGCCCTCTGGGGAGACAGGGACGTGAACAGTGACAAGCACACGCAGGCACAGCGTCATAGGTGGCGTCTCAAGGGAGGCAGTGGTCTGGGCTGGGTCTCACAGGTTGAGTCAGAGAGCAAGCACCAAGGCACAGGGGGAAGAAATGATCTGGTAAGGAATACACGGGGACCTGGACGCAGCCAAAGTCTCAGGCCTGAGAACTGTCATGTGGACGAAAGCTTTGGCCACCCAGGCTCTCGTGCACTGGAGTTTCACTGTGCTTGTAGCCGGAGCCAAAAGGAAGAGCTCACGCAGTCGGGAAGAAGCCAAGAAAAATAATTTTATGGAGAAAGCCTCCAAAAATCAAGATAGTATTTTCTAAGTAATGAGTGCCTGGCTTGTAGTCATGGCAGACTTTCTGGTTGTTTGTGAACTGGTGTGTTCAGGAACCACTGTGTTGGCACCTCCAACTCAGCTGTTCAGAGCAGGAGGGACCTCAGGGGGTAAGGAGGAAACTGAGGACCCAGGGGGAGCAGGACACGGGCTGGGAGTCAGGCCAACTGGGTGCCACCCCCGGCTCTGCCACAGACTCCTGGTGATCCTGAGAAAGTGACGCAACCACGCTGAGCCTGTGTCCCCAGCTATGAGGTAAAGATGATGAGTGGACAGACCCCTAAGCGTGGTTGTGAGGTTGCAGCAAGACAAGGCGTGTAGCTCAGCATGGAGCCTGGCAGAGGGGAGGTGACGCTTACAAATCAGATGAGGCAGAGATGAAGCAGAGCAACAGCCAAAAAGTAAAATGAAATAAAGCTTACCTTAAACATCTTATCGTAATTTAAAACACCAGTGGGTCTGCTGATGAGATTGCAACCCCTTTTTTTTTTTTTTGCATAAACCTTATTCATAATGCATTACCCACAATTTCCAGTTTTGTGTTTTTAAAGCAGAGCAAAAAATTACAGCTCGGATAAGGTGATCTGTATGCAGAATCTTTCTAGATTTTTATGATCTTTGCCCCAATCTATAGTTGTCTCCCCCATACCTGATTTAATAGTTATGTCTTATTAGACTCACCTTTATTCATTCAATTTAGCTTTATTAGACAGCTGTCACTTTTTCACCATTTCACTGGCTAACATATTTAATTGCATTACATAATTATAGTGATGTGTATAGTGCAGGACAAAACTCTTTTTTTGTGCATTAAGAAAATTTTTTTAACATAACTAACTCTTGAAAGTCCACCTCACCTGGTGGGAGCAGAGTCGTCAGGTACACTGGCCCCAGGTGGTCTGTGGGCATCACCCAGCAGGTTTAGAAAGAGATGGAAAGAGATGCAGCAGGCTAGTGACAGGAAGCTCCATCTCAGAAAACGTCTATACTATTTGTAAATGATGTAATTCACGCTCATTTCAAAGCAGCAAGTTGGTGTAATAAAACCACTGTGGGCTGTGGGAGTTGGGCAGATCTCCTTGTTCTGGAACCTTGGGCAGATTTTGTTTTGTGTGCGCCTCTGGGTTTGCTTTTCAGTTATGAACTGGGATGTTGTCCCTGCCCCTCAGGGCAGGTGTGAATGGACTAACCGGGCATCGCCCACGGGAGACATAGTGCAGGATCTCCTCTCAGCAGATAGCTGGTTCAGATCAGCTGCTCTCGGGGGCGTCTGGTGTCACCTCGCTTTCCTGTACTTTCAGAAGTCAGGTTTCTAGCCCCTCTGTCGCCACCTCCAGTGCCAACCGCCAGCTGATGATGCTGGAAGGGAAGTCAGGACCCTACTTTTCCTCTCTGGATTCGAGCATCGACATCCTGAAGAAGAGGGCCCAGGAGCTGATCGAAAACATCAACGAGAGCAGGCAGAAGGACCATGCGCTCATGACCAACTTCAGGGACAGCCTCAAGATCAAGGTGACAGATTCCCCTCCACACACTGCAAAAAGTCCCAGCGGGGGAGGGGTGTCCTTATATAAGAGGTGAGGGGGAGGGAATGAACCCCTGCTGAGCATCTGTTACCATCTAAGCAACTTGCATAGAGGACCTCATTTTCCCCTCACAACAGTCCTGCAAAGAAGAGACTGGACACATCTTGTAGATGGGAAAAGTAAGGTTCGGAAATAATTGCCCGAGTGAGAGAGCCAGGATGAGGATCTAAGGTCCATCTGCACCCACTGCCCAGCCCTTATTCGTGGCAGGGACAACGGCTGCAGGAGGAGGAGGTGGAGGCACAGCCTGCGTTATCACACCCTTTTGTCCTCCAGAAGTCAAATGGTCTGTGACGGGAGAGTAGGGCTCCCCCGATGTGGCTGGGGCTTCCGGCCCACGTTAATGATTGTCCCTGATGCTTCTTCAGAATGCAGAATGGGTCCTGTGAGTGGGACAGCTTCTTCCTTCCACATGTCATCTCTGATGACAGACTGACTTCTTCCCCCCTCCTGTCCCTACCAATACACACCCTGGTACAGCACAGAAATCTAGAAAGTAGAGAAAAGTGTAACATAGGAAAAACATATAAAAACATTCCTACCATCCCACCACCAGAGGCCACTTGGTTGCACATTGTTTTCTAGTCTCTTTCTTCCTAACCTGGTTGAGCTTATACTATCTAAATAATTTTGCATCTTGCTTAAAAAAAATTTTAACATAGAGGCAATTTCACCCCCAGTCACTGGAGTTGCTTTTACCATTTTTAGAAAATAAATTGCAGAATCTTAGAGATGTTTAGACATCTAAACAGATGTCTTGTGAGGCCTCTTGTTTGATTTCCCAAGAACACGTCTTCTTTAAAAGGTTTCGGACCTGACGGAGAAGCTAGAGGAGAGGATGTATCAGATTTATAGTCACCACAACAAGATCATTCAGGAGAAGCTCCAAGAGTTCACCCAGAAAATGGCAAAGATCAGCCATCTGGAAACAGAGCTCAAACAAGTGTGCCACAGCGTGGAGACCGTGTACAAAGACCTGTGCGTCCAGCCTGAGGTAGGATACTCACGTGGGGGGCGCACCTGAGGAAGGAGGGCTGTAGCGGCTAAGAAGAAAGTAAAGGAAACAGAAACCAAGGGTGTTGGCGTTGGCGTTGGTGCCGGCCCTCAGTGCTCTTGCCATCTCGCTCGTGGCCTTGTGCCCCCTTGTGACGTGGTGTGTCCCAGCTGAGAAGCCCGCCCGCTGTTATTTCCCACGGCTGTGTGGTCAGCTCTGTGGTGACAGAAAGGACAAAGTCCCCTCTGCCCACAGCCCTGAGGCTGGGACCCGGGCAGTGCCTAACCCGGGTTTGTTTATTACAGCAGAGCCCAAGTCTCAGACATGGGCCAGGTCTCTTGGGGGCGGGGGGAGATCCTGGCCACGTCCCAGCGCCTCCCAGCCTCCACGTGGGTGCATTTTTCCTGTGACTGGAACAACTTCTCAGTGGTTACAAGGAAATGTGGCCCAACGCTGTGGGGTCAGACACGCAGACTCTTTATTATTCTCTCCCCGTCGTTCTGCTCCGACATCCGGCATAAGGCACTTACCGCAGATGGGAGGGTCAGGGCGCACAGGGAACTCCTGGTGTGCCGGGGAGTTTGCTCGGTCACACAGCAAGTGGGCCTCACTGTTGCTTCCATGTCACTCTCCTTCTCTCTCCCTGCTACCCCGGCACGAGAAGCTTCCACTCCAAGGTAAGTGGAGTTTGTTCCCATCCACGGTTACAAGTGGATTGAGAAACTCAGTACAGAGCCCCATCTTCTTTTTAAGGAGCACACTTGATTGACTTCAAAAGGGAAATTTTGATATTTAAAAAATCAGTGTCTCTCCCTTCCCACCATAAAAATTGGCTCCATCTGCCACCTCCTCGACGAAGCTCAGAGCGCAGCGTCTCCCCGGGAAGGGGCTCGGGCCATCCGGGCGCCCGGGTGCTGTGTGCTCACTTGCCGGCCGTGAACGCCTGGATCCCTGTGATTGCCCTCCCGAGGATCAGAGCGTGAATGTCATGAGTGCCTGGACAAGAGAAACGTGGAGTTGGTGTGGAGTCGTAATGGCTCACGACTTCCTATGTCCCCCCTAGGCGGCTACTTCAGAGGAGGAACAGACCCACAAAGATGGCGAATGCTGACAGCTGCTGGGAGAGTCCCTCTTCAAGACAGCCACCATGAGAGGGCTCAGAGGCCACCATTCGGGCCAGGCTGAGAAAATTGTTTTTCAGAGTTCTGTAATGCATCTTGGCCAAAAAAACCCCCAACGCTCCTTCTGCCAGACCCAAAACTGCAGGGAGTCCAGCCCCCGACGGGCCCAGCTTTGGTGCTCCCACAAATTCACCCCACCCAACCCCGCACGGTTGATTAAACGTTTGACTTTCAGCCCAGCCGTGCTTCCTTCCCACGGAGGCGGAGAGAGCTGACATGCTCTGGGGAAAGGTGTCAGGCCCTTCCTCACCCGCAGGAGGGGCGAGAAAGGAAACATCACACAATTTCTTTTCCCAGCTGATGTCCGTCCCCACCGAAGCTGCTACCCCACACCCTGTGCCCTCGCCTCTGGGGAACACTCTGCAGCCCTCAGTGCTCTCATCTGCTCTTCCTCACCTTCCAGGGCTGGAAGGCAGAGACTATGGCCTCCCTTTCATGGAGCAAAATAACTGTTGACTTCCTAAAGTGCAAATCTGACCCTGTGCCTCCCCTGCATAAACCATCTGAGGGTCCCCTCTGCTTGTCCTCAGGGTCATTCCCACACCTGTAGGAACCCCCTACCATAACCGCCCCCCCTTGCTGTTTCTGGAATGTTCCATCCGGAATAGCACACGGAAGCTATTTCACCATCTCTGCCCAGGGAGCTCCTACACCTCCCTCAAGGCCTAACGTGGTCCCACTTTCTTCCTGAGAGAATGAGCGCCTGCCTCCTCTTGCATCTCCCTTTATTTCTGCCTGGCTCACGCTGGATCGTACAGTTTTTTTCTTTTTAGTTATCTTTTCCCACGTCTGTCTGCCCACGAGGCAAGGGGTTCTGGGCCCACATGAGTCACAACCAGGTGCCAGGTGCAGACACCACAGCCTGCAGATGATTTCCTTTTTTCCTCCTAATGTAAGATGGAATGGTGATTCCTGTCTGAGCTGCAGCCACCGGCTTGCTAAGCACCATGCCCCACTTGGGATGCCGGAGGAGCTGTAAGCAGGCCTGAGAACACCCCTCTTCCTCAGCATCATGGGGAGAGGGCCGAGAGCATTTCACTTTCTCTGTCCCAGTGGGAGGGACACAAAATGGGTCTTGCCCCAGGTCACGCTGCCTGTTGGTGACAGCTGGGAGCAGGACTCGGCCTGCTGTCCCCGCCCCTCCTCGCTGCCCCTCTTCCCCAGACAGTGGGCCACTGTGACCCCCACCCTCCAGGGATCGGCCCCCACCTTCATAGGTGTTCACGGCCTCCAGGTTCATGGCGTGCCGGATCACGTGATACTCGTCAGAAACCCCGTTCCCCCCCAGCATGTCTCGTGCCTGACGGGCGATGTCCAGGGCCTTCCCACAGTTGTTCCTCTTCAGCAGGGAGACCATCTCCGGGGTGGCCCTGGAGCGGCACAGACGTGAAACAAGTGCTGGATTACGAAGAGCTGAGCCTGCTCTGGGCGTCCTCGCATCCCCAAGCCCTGGGCAGACGCAGCCAAGGGAGGATTCCCGCATTACAGTCACAGCAACAGACACTGGGCGCCCAGTGAGGGACAAGGGAGGTGGCCCCGGCCCATCAGGAGAGCCGGGGGGAACACAAGAAGAGACGGGTCCCTAGAGGCCACCAGGCAGGAAGGCCCTCTCTCCCTAGGGCCAGCCACACCACGCCCAGGGAGGCACGGGGACCATGCCTGTGCAGCTCCCCGCTTCCTCCCCACACGCAGCCCCTACTTGTCTTGATCCTTCAAGCGGCCGAGCTGCAGGCAGGCGTGAAGGCCCAGCGTGATCTCGGTGAGCATGTCTGCCAGCTTCTTCTGAATCAGCTGGTTCCTGGCCAATGGGACGCCAAACTGGATCCTAGGCAGGAAAGGTCAGGGTAGGTGGGGGGGGGGGGCACTTCCCAGTCCCAGCCAGGGCCCCACCGGCTGCCTCAGCACCCCCTTAAACACACCTCGGCCTGTCCTCCACTCGGCCCCTTCCTGCTTTCGCGCACTTCCCCGGCCATTTCACATGGTGGGGAACTTAGGTCTGGGGCATAGGGGTGAGGAGTCACCAGTGGGGTAATGGCTGGAACCTGAGACCCCTCCCCATCCCCAGGAGATCTCAGGACAGCCCCCACACACCTGTCCAGGGTGTACTGCCGGGCCGTGTGCAAACAGAACTCGGCGGCTCCAAGCACGCCCCAGGTGATGCCATACCGGGCGTTGTTGAGGCAGCCGAAGGCACCCTGTGGGGTTGACCGGGGGGCCTCAGCCCCACCAGGAGGAGCTGAGAGGCCCTGTGCAGAACCAACTCCTAAGTAGGGGGAAGCCCCCTCCCCAGACACCCAGACACAAGTCAGTGTAAACGGGGGACTCAGGGCGGCCGTTTAATCCACACGTGGCCTAGCACCAAAGCTCCCGTACGGCAGGTCTGGCTCAGTGCCTGCTCACTCCTGGTTTGCACACAGTTCTACCCAGCCCAGGGTGTGGGCTGGATGCTCGGATGTAGGGGCTGAGGTGAGACAGGAAGATGCACATGCACCAAAGGATTAAGCTGGTTCAGGCCCAGCTGTGTCCTGGGCAGAGCCAGTATGAGTGAGATGGTCACCAAAATGGGGCGCTTGCTGCACGTCAGTGAGCCAGGCGGGGCCTCTCCGAATCACTACTGCATGGCTCCACAGCACAGGGGCCGTGTGGTCGGGTCCCCCGCACGGGGCCGGCCCAAGACAGGTGAACCAGGTGACCCGACACCAGTTCCCAAGGTGGCCGCTGCTCACCCCCAGGCCGGACGCCTTGGGTAGCACGTTTTCCTCCGGCACCTCCACGTCGTCCATGACGATCATGCCCGTGGCTGAGGCCCGCAGGGAGAACTTGCCCTCGATCTTGGGGGCCGAGAGGCCCCGCATCCCCTTCTCCAGCAGGAAGCCCCGAATGCGGCTATCTTCGCACCGAGCCCACACTACAAACAGGTCGGCCACAGGCGAGTTGGTGATCCTGGAGGTGGGACAGGCGGTGAGGGGTCTGGCCGCCACCCCTCCACCCCCGCCCACCTGCCTGAGGCCCCAGAGCCCTCACCAGGTCTTGGTCCCATTGAGGGTGTAGCTCCTGCTGGCGGGGTTGTGGCGGGCTCTGGTCTCCATGCCGGAGGGGTCACTCCCGTGGTTGGGTTCTGTGAGCCCGAAGCAGCCCAGGAGCTCCCCCTTGGCTGCAAGCACGAGACAGGGTCATGGGGCTGACTGTCCCCCACTCACTCCTCAAATGAAAATTGTCAGCCTCTCCGCTGAGCCAGGCCAAGGCAGATCTGGCCCTCCCAGGGGTTGGGGGTCAAGTATCCCCGAGGCCATAGTCACAATGCCATGATGGGGAGGGGCCCCACAGGAGTCAGGAAGGAGTCAATTAAACCATTTTGAAGGGCAGTGAAAGGGCAGGAGAAGGTTTAGAGAAGAGCACTGGATGTGCAAAGGCCCAGTGGTACATTTGGAGAATTCCAAGTAGCTGAGTCTGGCTGCGGAGGAGCAGTCAAGAGTGGCCAGAGATGCAGTGGGAAGGTCAGCAGGCCTGCTCATGTGGGGCCTCGTGGACCCAGGCAGGAAGTTAAGACTTTGAACTTGGGCTGGCATGAGGGAGCACAGAGAGCAAATCAGGAGAGAGATGATGGTGCTGAGAAAGGGGCAGAGTCCAGAGAGACCTAGGAGGGGATGTCAGGATCAGATGTGGGGCTGAGGCCCAGGGTCTGGCAGGGGTCCGGATGGCCATTGATGCTGTCCTTGAGGTGGGGACAGAAGGCCGGCTCAGGGGCCAGCCCCACCCTAGACTGTGGGGGCTCTCTTCCTTCCACCAGGCTCCCGGGCAGCCACTCACCCAGCCGAGGCAGGTACTTCTGCTGCTGCTCCTCACTGCCGTAGGCATAGATAGGGTGCATGACGAGGGAGGACTGGACGCTCATCGCCGACCTGTAGCCGCTGTCCACCCGCTCCAGCTCTCGGGTCAGAAGCCCATAGGCCACCGAGGAGACTCCAGCACAGCCATACCCTGGTTGGGGAGGGGAGATAGGGCAACGCGGGACAAAGCCCTGTCCAGCTGGCACCAGTGACCCCTGGGGCCCGAGAGACACAGCTAGGGGCGCCCAAGGAGGCACAGGCTGGCCCGCGCTTGAGGGTTCATTCATTTCCTTCCCACAGCCGCTTTCAGACGGGGAGATGACAGCCTCGCTTTACAGACTGGGAAGCCCAGGCTCAGGGAAATGAAGGGGCTCTCCAGGATGCAGTGGCGCTGCAGAGGATGGACAGAAACTTGTCCCTACCTTTAATGGTGGGGCCCAGCACACCGAGCTCCCCCATCTCCGAGATGATCTCCCGGTGAAAAACTGCAGAGGAACAGATACCTGAGTTCAGGCCCAGCCCTAGCCCACTGGAGCCCCCATCCGGAGAACAGAGGAGCCCAAAGGCCCGGCTAGAGCAGGCAGAGCTGGTGTGCATGGTGCAGGGTGCCACCCGCCCCCTGGGCACCTTCGTTGCGATTGGCCAGCAGGATGCGGGGCATGAGGCGCTCCTGGCAATAGGTGCGGAAGGTGTCCCTGATGACGATCTCATCCGCTGTCAGCTGCTCCTCCAGCACCAGCGGGTCTCTCCAGTCAAACTCGGGACGCGAGGCTGGGGCGCAGATGGGGGGGCACCGACTCAGCGCAGCCCACCCGACCACCGCGCCCCTCCTCTCCCGAAACCCTCAGACCCACCACTCCACCCCCATCTTGCTCCCAACAAATGTGGGCTGTAACCAGGACTGACAAAGCGGCCTTTCTCCAGGAAACTCCCTGCCTCAGAGCCTCTGGCCCTGGCCACAGCCCTGCCTGTCCGCCTGGCAGCCCTCGGATTCTGGGACAGAGCCCATCCGGGGCAGACAGCTGGACAAGGGACGCAGACGCACGGCGAGACGAGGGGTCCTTACACTTGGCCGGTTGGCTCTGTGTCTTCCCGCCCTTTTCTGCAAACACAGGACGGGAAGGTCACCCGGGAAAGTCTCCGAGCCTCTAGTTCCTCCCTCCCCACCTCGCCCCACCCCGGCCCGGCACTGACCGGTCTGCGCCGCCGCCGAGCCCCACGCACGTAGGGCGCGCAGGCCGGGTCCGCGGCGCAGCAGCCGCGCGGAGACTCCTCTCAGGGCCATGTGGGCAGCGGGCGGGGCAACCGCGGACCTGGAGGAGCGGGGGCGTCAGAGCCGAGCGGCCCCCACCGCAGCCCCGGTCCTTTGCGCCCCCGCCCCTCTCGCCGGTCCTCACCTGGCGCCTCCCGGCTCACCGCACAGGCCCCGGTGCAACTCACCGAAGGCTTTTGACCTCAAGAGGGGGTGGGAGGGGCGGAGGTCGAGTGGGGCTTCTCATTGGTTCGTCCTAGCACCGGCTCCTTCGCGGCTCTGCCTTTTAAAAGGGCCACGGCAGCCTCGCCTGTGGAGGCGGGCGCGCCCAAGCCGAGGCAATTTAGCCGGTTTAAGGAGCAGAACCGGAAAGGGCGGAAGGCGCGTGCGCCAAGCCGATTGGCCAGCAGTGTTCCTGCTGTGATTGGCCCTAGGAGGAGGCTCGGCCCACTCTTGGTTGGTCAGTTGCGAGGGGCGAGTGCAGAGAGATTCTGGAGTTAAACAAGGAAACTGAGGCACGAGAAAAATGAGTCCTGGAACTCAGGAGGCCGCACCTCCCGGTCTCCTTTAATGGGGTACTGTGTGTGGGGAGGAGGCGGCCTCTGGTGGGCGAGCTCAGCCCAGCCTGCCTGCCCGTCAGGAAGCACGTGTAGGCACGTGTGACTGTGTGTGACGATGTGATTCCGTGTGCTGTGTGATTCTGCGCCTCTATGCGTGTGATTGTGCCTGAGTGACTGTGGATCTGTATGTGGGGGGTGCTGACTGTGCCTGTGACATTGTGGGGCTGTTGACTGCAGTGGTTGTGTGCCTGTGTAACTGTCTGCAACTGTCTGTAAGTGTGGCTGTGTCTTTGTGGTTTCTTGTCTGTGTAACTGTAAGCTTGTGTAATGGCATTCTGTGTGATCGTGCGTCTGTGTGTATGACTCTTGTGTTTTGATGGTTTTCTCTCTAGGTGTAGCTATTTTTGTGATAATATGACTGGATATTTGCGTGTATGTCTGTGTGATTGTGTGTATCTATATACGTCTGTGATGTGGTCTGTGTGCAATTGTGTGTGATTGTGTGCCTGCGTATGACATGAGTATATGCCTGAGTGAGTGGCTGTGCTCACCTAGGTCACTTTGATGAGCATTTGTGTGGTGCGCATTTGAATCTGGGTGCATCACGCTTGACCATCTCTGTATCTGGAAGTCACACATCTGCCATGACCCACCCATTTCCCAGTTGGGGAAAGTAAGGCCTAGAAAGCAGACTGGTCTTGCCCAAGGTCACAGTGGGCCAGGTGTAGAGCAGGGATCAGGACTGGGATCCAGGCTTCCTGATTCCCAGGACAGGCCCCTCCCTGCCCACTCAGGAACACCTCTTACCACATAGACACTCTGGGTCATTGTGTGTGTAGTGTGCTCTGCCTTACATGTCGTCTCTGACTGAGTGTGATGGCAGTAACTGTAGGATTGTGTCTGAATGTGATCACTAGCCTGCATGGCCCCAAATACCTGGGGCCTGGGTGTCCCTGAACTCTCCACTTTCTGGGCCTCTCTTACCCTTAATATCCAAACAAAATGGTTTGGACCCACCTCCCCACAGAGCAGGGAGTCCATCACCTCCCCAAAATGTCTGGGATTCTGCAGAGCTCTTGTTCTTCTGGACACCTCTCCCCTCCTGGAGCCAGTGGCCTCTCTTTCACCCCTTCCTTTCCCCACAGCTCCCTGCCCTGGAGCTGCTGTGGGTGTTGGAGTTCTCTGATGCTCAGGGGTGTCGGAGGGTGATGACAGCATACGTGCTAGAAAGCCAACCCAAGGCTCAGGCCTTGCCACCCTGGGCGGTCCATCTTCCCTCCTGGCCCCATGCTCCCAGGAGCCTTATCTCCCAGCCAAATGCCTCCTCTCTCTGGGCCCTTATCCTGTTGCCTCACCTTTCAGAGCCAGACGTGCCTGTTTCATGCCTCATCCTAAAGGAGGAGATCTCTCCCCACGAAACCCTGCTCTCCTCTCCAGGAAACCACTCTAACTCCTGCCATTTTGTTTTATTGAAGGGAAATTCACATAAAATAAAATGAACCATTTAAAGTGAACAATTCAGGGGCCGGCCCCGTCGCATAGTGGTTAAGTGCGCACACTCTGCTGCTGGCAGCCCAGGTTCAGATCCCGGGCGCGCACGGATGCACCACTTGTCAGGCCATGCTATGGTGGTGTCCCATATAAAGTGGAGGAAGATGGGCACAGATGTTAGGCCAGGGCCAGTCTTGCTCAGCAAAAAGAGCAGGATTGGCGTGGATGTTAGCTCAGAGCTGATCTCCCTCACAAATAAATAAATAGAGTGAACAATTCAGTGGCATTTACATTCACAATGTTGTGCAATCACCACCTCTATCTAGTTCCAGAACATTTCCATCACCCCAAAAGGAGACCTTGTCCCTATTAGCAGTCACTCTCCATTTCCTCCTCCCCCAGCCCCTGGCAACCACTAATCTTTGTGTCTCTACGGATTTGCCTGTTCTGGACATTTCATATCAATGGAATCATATAATGTATGATCTTTTGTGACTGGCTTCTTTCACTTAGCATGTTTTTCAGGTTCATCCACGTTGTAATATGTATTAGAATGTCATTCCTTTTTATGGCTGAGTAATATTCCACTGTGTGGAATGACCACATTTCGTTTATCCATCTGTTGATGGACATTTGAGTTGTTTCCTCCTTTTGGCCATTGTAACTAATGCTGCTGTGAACATTGGTGTACAAGCATTTATTCAAGTCCCTGTTTTCAATTCTTTTGGGTATATACCTAGGAGTAAAATTGCTGGGGCACATGGTAACTCTTGTTTAACTTGTGAATGTTTAACTTTTTGAAAAATCGTCAGACTATTCCACAGTAGCTGCCCCATTTTACATTCCCACTAGCAGTGTACGAGGGTTCAATTTCTCCACATCCTTGCCAACACTTGTTATTTCCCTTTTTCTCTATTATAGCCATCCTACTGAGTGTGTCGAGCTGCCTTTTATATTACTTTTTGCCCCCCGTTGTGACACATGATAATTGTTTGCCTTTTTGTGCAGTGCGTTTGTGACACACCAACTCTGATTTTGTGTCTGTGGTGATGTGTCTACGTCAGGGCGAGGTTGTGTGCCTTATACTATCAGGGTGCTTGATTCCATGGTGGTGTGGTTGTCTGTGTTTCACTGAGTGCGCCCCCTGTAGTTGGGCATTGGCAGCTGTGCAATTGTGTAACTAATTACATACTGTGACAGTGGCAGGCGGTGTGACTATGTAAGGTTGTAGGTTTACAGGGTGCTGTGTGTGATTGTGTCTGTCTGATGTACAGCTGTGCACATTACTGCATCATCATGTGTTTGTGAGTGGTTGTGTGTGGCCGTGTTTTATGCTTTTGTGTCTGAGGCTACATCTGCGTTCGACGGGGCCGGGTGACTGCATCTTCTCCAGTCCTGTGACAACATAGCCAGGAGTCTCTGCGTGTCTGTTCAGTTATGGCTAAATCCTGTCAGTGTGATTGTGTGATTGGGTGTGAGTGGATATCAGTGTGTGATTGTGTTAGGGCCTGTCTGTGATGATGAATTCGATGTCTGAGGGATTGTGTGGCTATAACACTGTGTAACCAGTGTAGTGTATGGTTGCGTCTTAGTGCCTGAGAATTGTGTGTCTGTGCACATTCTATATGACGCACAGACACACAACTGTATGTGCAGGGACTACAGTCTGTGTGACTGAGGGACCAGGAATTTGTGTCACTATGTAATTGTATATTGTGTGTGTGTGACTATGAACTGTGTGTCTGTGATGTGTGTCCACGTTGCCCCCTCCCTGCCCCAGACTCCCAGGGCACCACAGTGGAGATGCCTGGTGCAGAACCTCGGATCCTCCACCGCCCCCCCGATGGGGGGCAGCATTCAGGCAGCAGCCAGGCCCAGGGCAGGGGTTGGTGCAGGTCTCCTGCTGGTCAGATACGTCCTGTGGCCCGATTCAACGGTCCCATCCCACCCAAGTGAAGGGGTCGCCTCCCCCTGCCCAGCCATGGTACTGGAGCCTCAGCCTCCCCATGCCCCGCTCCCTGCAGTGCCCCCGGGGGGCCGGGATAGACAGTGGCGGCTGACTGGCAGGGCCCCCTCCTGCCACTGAGCTCAGACCCTGGGAGCTCAAAACCCAGGCAATTTCAAGCCGAGCTAATGTGAAGCCGCAGCCCCCAGCGCCCCCACTCACCGGGGACAGAGCTTTGGCTCTGGGCCCCCACCCGATAGCAGCCTCCTACATCTGGGGTGTCTGATAATGCCTGGCTTGGCAGCGAGTTCGTGCCAAGTCCCGCCATCAGCACGGTTGCTGCTGTTTATTGGGGAGGGGGAGGGCTTGCAGGCCCCCGTCAGGGGAGAGGTGGTCTCGAAGCCCCTTCCCAGAACCCCCATTCTGCCTGTCACCCCTTCTCCATGAAGGTAACTGAGAGCAGGCCCCCAAGACTCTCCCTCTCCGGGGACCCACGGCCTCACTTTACCCAGCACCTGAACCCCCAGCCCCCAAACATCTGACTCGGCTTTGCAGACAGGGTCCGTCTCTAAGGCCCAGCCCCAAACAGGCTGAGGCCACATCTGCTCCCCAGAAACAGTGACCCCCGCCTTGCCTGCCCCTTATCAGGGGCTGCAGCCAATCAGCTGAGGGCAGAGAGGAGCCCTCCAAGGGGCCATTGCAGCCTCAGAGCTCACGAGGCCGCCGAGGGAGAGGAGGCCTGAAGCCCAGGGTGGGCACCAGCCAGCCATGGCCTCAGCTGAGACCGCCTTGCCTTCTATCAGCACACTGACTGCCCTGGGCCCCTTCCCGGACACACAGGAGGACTTCCTCAAGGTGGGGCCAGGGAGGGTCTATGTGGGCTGGTTGGGGTCCCGGGCTGTGGTCCTAGAGTTTGGGGGTCAGGTCTGCATCTTGCCCTGGAATCCAGACACCTGGCTAGGGCTGGGGGTCCTCAGCCCAGGCCAGGGGTCTGAACTTGGTCTAAGGGCTTATTTCTGCCGTAGAAAACTGAGGCTGGGAGCTGAACACTGTAGGGGGCTAGGCTCAGGGAGACAACCCGATATCAGAGGGAAACAGCAGATGTGTCTAGGGGACATCCAGGAATTCATCTTGGGAATTCATCTTGTTGGGGGACAGGGGAATTCTGGGGGGAAACTGAGGCAAGCCTGGGCCCCCTCAGCCTTTCATTCTTGGCTCTGCCACCCCTTCCCCCATGCTTGACTGTGGCTTCAGATAATGTAAGTCTTATCTCCTGTCTCCAGCTAGACCCAATCGGCCTCTGTCCTTGGCGCTGGTGGGGGGGCGGGGGCGGGCAGTGTCAAGGAGTGGGACCTCCTGACATGACAGACAAGCAAACAAGACCCCTTTCCGGAGCCTGTGGCCGGCCTGCCCCCAGCAGGGCATCGGGCCCCCTTGGCCCTGGGCAGGACACCCTGTTGTTCACCGAAGCCTCACGCTGCCTCTCCCTCCCGCAGTGGTGGCGCTCCGAGGAGGTGCAGGACTTGGGCCCGGGTCCCCCCGACCCCACCGGGCTGCCCCTCCACGTGAGGCCGGAGTCGGAGGACATGCGAGGGGAGGACGAAGACGACGAGAAGGACGCGGCCACCGCCTGGGACCTGGATCTCCTCCTCACCAACTTCCCGTGCCCAGAGCCGGGCGGCGCGCCCCAGACGTGCGCTCTGGCGCCGGGGGAACCCCTCGGGGCGCAATTCCCGCCGCCGCCGCCCGAGACTCTGGGCGCGTACGCGGGTGGCCTGGGGCTGATGGCTGGGCTCTTGGGTCCAGAGGAGCACCCGGGCTGGGCACGCCCGGCCCCACGAGCCCCGGCCCCCGACGCCTTCATGGGCTCAGCCCTGGTCCCGGGCCCCGAGCCCAAAGCGCTGCCGCTGCAGCCGGTATACCCGGGGCCGGGTGCGGGCTCCTCCGGCAGCTACTTTCCGCGGACCGAGCTTTCAGTGCCTAGCCCGCCGGGCGCCCCCTACGGGCTGCTGCCCGGGTACCCTGCGCTCTACCCGGCGCCGCAGTACCAAGGGCACTTCCAGGTCTTTCGGGGGCTCCCGGCGCCCGCGCCCGGCCCCGCCGCGGCCCCCTCCTTCCTGAGTTGTCTGGGACCCGGGACGGCGGGTGCGGGATTCGGGGGCGCCGCAGCAGACCCCGGAGGGACCCCGGAAGCGGCGCCATCCAAACGCAGCCGGCGCTCGTGGGCGCGCAAGAGGCAGGCGGCGCACACGTGCACGTACCCGGGCTGCGGCAAGAGCTACACGAAGAGCTCGCACCTGAAGGCGCATCTGCGCACGCACACGGGTGAGGGGACGGGGCCCGGGCGCGGGGGGCGGGGCGGGGCCTTGGGCGCAAAGCGCGGCCCGGGAGGTGGAAACCAGGAGCAAGGGGAGGGGCTCGAGGCAAAGACCCAGCAGAGACGAGGCTAAAGCAGAGTGCCGGAGCAAGGGGCGGGGCAGAGGGAGCAGGGAGCCGGCCTGGAACCTCAGGAGCAGGGCCACAGGCCAGGCTGTGGTGTGGGAGGAAGGCGTTGCAGAGAGAAGACCTGAAAAATCTGGGGAGCGTTTCAGGGAACTGACGGGTAAGTCCTGGGCCAGGGACAGGCTGAGGAGCAGAGAGTCTGTCAAGTGGCGTAGGGCGGCGGGGCTAGAGGAGGGACTGTGCGGAGGAGATAAACTTAGAATGCCAGGCCAAAGACACAGGGCTCAGGTTTGGGGCAAGCGGGGAGCGGAGTTAGGAGCTCTGGGCCATAACCAGGAGTATAAAGCGTGGGTGGCTTGGCGTGGAGGCGGAGCCAGGCTGTGGGGGCGTGGCTGAGGCTCAGAGGGTGAAACAGGGACAGAGTCAGTTTCCCGGGCCCAGACGGAGAAGATGGGCAGAGGCAGGTCCAGGTGGGCAGGGGGAATAGCTGGGCAACAGAGAAGGAAGGGGGGCATAGGAGGAGAAGCCGGCTCCCAAAGAGCCTAAGACAGGGGCGGGGCCGTGGAATAGAGGCGGGGAGGACAAGGGGTGAAGCCTATGCTTAGGGGTCCGCACAGAGGGTGGGGCCATGTGTACGGACCTGACGGGGACGCAGGGGGAGGGGCCAGGCGTAGCAGAGGGAGAGCATAATCACCGGGGACAGGGCCTGGGACACAGGATGTATTTCGGAGCTCAAGGCCAAGGCTGAGGGTAGGATTGGGCAGCAGCTGGAGGGTCCCCTGGTTCAAGAGAGGGGCTGGGACACAGGGAGCAGGGCCAAAGCACGAGGATGGGACGGCTTCAGGACGCAGGGGCAGGGTACCAGGGCACAGGAAGTGGGGCCAGTGGGGTCGGGGACGCGACTTGGGCCCAGGAAATGAGAACGGGTGTGGCGCCAGATGCAGGTGCAGAAGAAGAAGGGTCGGGGTCGCAGAGGCCGGACCTGGGTGCAGATTCAGGGCCCTCCCCTGAGAGTGAGCGCTTCCTTAAATGTTGTGTCCTAGGCGCCTCGCTTGCCTCACCCTTGTCCAGGCCAAGGCTGCGCAAAGGAGTGCGGCCAGATGCAGGGGCGGCCCCGGGGGCGGGGAGGGGTGGACGGTGGTACTCACTGCTTCCTCGCCCCAGGGGAGAAGCCATACGCCTGCACGTGGGACGGCTGCGGCTGGAGGTTCGCGCGCTCGGACGAGCTGACCCGCCACTACCGGAAGCACACCGGACAGCGCCCCTTCCGCTGCCAGCTCTGCCCGCGCGCTTTTTCGCGCTCCGATCATCTGGCCTTGCACATGAAGCGTCACCTTTGAGCCTGGCACTCGGACCTTCCCGGGGACGGGATGGAACAAGAGCAGATCCAGGCAGGGGGGTTCCCTCGGCTGGACCCTGGCCGGGACTCGCGGCCACACAGATCCACCGAAAGATCAAGGGCTGGCCCATAGACAGACCCGGGGAGACTCCGACGGAAGCTCCCACACATGTCCTCAGCCACAGGGAGCCACACAGGCGTCCGATGGTCACGCAGACCCAGCGAGACAGACCTCCAAATAAACGAACTCCAATGGACACTCTGACACTTTGGACAGAGAGACAGGCCTGCAGATAGCTGGACCCTTAGATCGGCTCACAGGCGGCCTCGGACAGCGGGAGGGGGTGTGGGTTGAGGCTTCTCAGAGACCCTGGGTCTAGGAGGGGCTTCATACCGTGACTTCTGAAGCTCCGCACAGTGGCTGGCATCTGCTGTGAATGGTTACAAGGGTCCTGTAAAAATGCTCCTCCCAGATAAAGCTTCAGCGTTGGCCTGACTTTGTGGGTTTTGGGCGCTGGAAGCTGTGAGGAAGCTGTACCCCCAAGAGGTGATATTGGGGAGCCGTACACACCCTCACACCCTCATCTCCTAAACCTCAGCGACCACCCCTGGGCACTGCAAATCTTGCCCCCTTTTCCCCCTCCTCTTTACTCCCAAGATCAGGCTACATCGTCCTTGTCTCCTGCCTTGAACCCCAGGAACATTCACAGGGACCGCGTCCTTCCATTTAAAAGCCCTGAGCCCGACCCCAGAGCCCTACGCCCTTCCCCTGGCCATGATCCGAAGCGACCTCTTGGCTAGCTGGGGGGGCGGGGGGGGGCCGGGAAAACATGCAGAATGAAAAGGGTAGAGTCAGAATCGCAAGCGACCCTTGAGAGAGCACAGGGCACAAGAGCTGGCTGTAAGGCAGGAAAGGAAAAAATCCGCATTTGCTTCCGACCCAGAAGTCGGGGAAGGAGCGGGGTTCGGCGGAAGAGCGAGGATCCGGATTAGCTCTCATGGAAAGAGACGGAGGCGGGGCCTAGCGGAGGGACGTGAGCTGTGATTGGCCAGGAGCGACCCCCCCGCGCCAAAAGAGGGCGGAGCCAGTCTAGGGCTGAGTCCGCGGGACCGGGACCCAGGAGGGCACCCTAGGCTGGCCGGGTCGGAGGCGGGAGCTGCGAGACTGACAGCCCGAAAGGAAGCCCCTTCCTCTAGGCACCCGAGACCGCCTTCTCAAATTTCTGCTTCTCTCGAGGGCGGAGTTTCCATCCTCTTGAAGTCCCGGCCCAGGTTCCCAGGCGGGTTTGGGGAAGTGAAAGTCACCCGGGGCCCCAGCTCGTGACCCGGCGCACCGCGGTCCCGCACAGATTCCTCGACCCTAGCCCCATGGCCGCGCTGAGCCCGCTGGTTCTGGCCGCTCTGCTGTGGGTCCCTGTGGGGACACTGACCTGCTATGGGGACTCGGGGCAGCCGGTGGACTGGTGAGTGCGCCGGCGCCGACCATCCCCCGGGGCTGGACTGGATTGCTGCGCTCCCGAGTGAAGCCTGGAATTCCTTCTCTTCCCTTTCCTCCATTTCTGTCCATTCCCCAACCTCCAGGTTTGTCGTCTATAAGCTGCCGGCCCGGAGCGGGTCCGGGGCTGCGGCGCAGAAGGGGCTGCAGTACAAATACATGGATGGGGACTCGGGGGGCTGGCGCGACGGTGCGGTCTCCATCGACAGCCCGGCGGGGGCCGTGGGCCGCAGCCTGCTGCCGCTGTACCGGAACAACGCCAGCCAGGTGAAGGGGCGCCGGGCCCAACCTGGGGCGGCACTCTAGGGAGGGCCCGGCCTGGGCAGGATCGTCACCTTGTCCCGTCCATCTTCCCCAGCTCGCCTTCCTACTCTACAATGACCAGCCGCCTAAGTCCAGCCGGGCTCAGGACTCTTCCAGCCGCGGGCACACGAAGGGTGAGGCCCAGATTGGGGCCTGGGAAGGGTTGGGTTTCTCTCTGCATTTTCCCCAGCTAATCCCTGACCTGCGGGGGTGGGGGTGGGTGGGGCTGGGACGGGGGTGGGATGCTCTGTCAGACCCTGGGCATCTGTTCCTTCGTCTTACACTAACGTCCCTTCCCGTGGACTATGAGAATTGATGGCTGTCGAAACAGCTCAGCAGTGGTCCCGACACTGCCCACACCCTCTCCAGGTCCCCTGCAAACTGAGGGTGTTCCTGGTTGCATGTGTGTTTGTTGGGATGCCTTCAGCAGTCCCCCCAATCCCCATCTTCTGGTTCAGGGGTGCTGCTCCTGGACCGAGATGGGGGCTTCTGGCTGGTCCACAGCGTTCCACGCTTCCCTCCACCTGCCTCCTCTGCTGCATACAGCTGGCCACCTGGTGCCCGCACCTATGGGCAGACCCTGCTCTGCGTGTCTTTTCCCCTCGCCCAGTTCCAGAATATTGGTGAGTGGGGACAGGCAGGCAGGGTGAGTTCCTGATTCCCAGGCCGGAGAATGGAACAGTTTCTCATTTTTTCCTCCACTTGCCCTCCAGGCAGACAGCTGAACTACACCTTCCCCCTGGTGTATGACTACAAGCTGGAAGGAGACTTTGCCCAGAAATTCCCCGACCTGGTGGAGGTAGCCAAGGGCCACCACGTTCGCCAAGGACCCTGGAACAGCAGTGTAACACTCACTTCAAAGGCAGGGGCCACCTTCCAGAGCTTTGTCAAATCGGGAAAATTTGGAGATGGTGAGCCCTGAGGTTGAGGATTGGAGAACTCTGCAGAGGGGGTGTCTGGTGTGTCCGTGGCTGAGGGCAGGTCAGGGATAGGCACTAGGACTCTTTGGGAGCCATAATCAAATGAGAGGTAGACAACCAACAGACCTGGGTTTCTGGCTGTGTGGTACGTTCCCATCTGAAAAATGGGGAGACTGACATCTCCTTGAAAGAGTGGTTGTGAATGAAGTGTGCCTGTAGAGTGTTTAGCAAGGGCTGTTAGTCTTAATGTTGTCATCCCCCAGTTGCCAGGAGTTGACAACTGAGGAAACAGAGCTCAGAGAGGGGAAGTGGCCCGGGGAAGCCCCAGCGGTGCCCCTACCCCTGCCCATGCCCTCTTTCCATCCTCCACAGACCTGTACTCTGGCTGGTTGGCGGAAGCCCTTGGCAGCGACCTGCAGGTCCAGTTCTGGCCAAATTCTCACGGCATTCTCCCCTCCAACTGCTCCAGGGTCTGGCACGTGCTGGATGTGACCCAGACAGCCTTCCCTGGGCCAACTGGGCCAACCTTCAATGCCACAGAAGACCACTCCAAGTGGTGTGTAGCCCCAAAAGGGCCCTGGGCCTGTGTAAGTGACATGAATCGGAACCAAGGAGAGGAGAAGCGGGGTGGTGGCACACTGTGTGCCCAGCTGCCGGCCCTCTGGAAGGCCTTCCAGCCTCTAGTGAAGGCCTGGTGGCCCTGTGGGCAGGAGAGCAGGGCCTTCTCTCCAGGAAGGCCCAGCAGAGCATCTGAGAGGTAAGGCTCAGGAGCCAGTTTAGTCCCTTACTAATTGTGTGCCCTTAATTGTGTGCCTTAACCTCTCTGGGACTCAGCCTTCTCATCTGCAAAATGGGCATCTAACACCTGGCTCAGGATTGTTGAGAAATAAAAGTAAATTGGTAGGTGAGGCTGTTAACTTTTCCTCCAGAATAGCACTGCAGCTGCTGCGGGTCTGGGGATAGCTGGCACATCAGTGAGACCCAAAGTGGGACCACAAAGAAGGGTCCACCCAAGTCTCACTTCCCTGTCTAGGGCAGCCAGGCCTGAAGTTCCGCCCTCAGCAAGCACACAGGCAGAGGGTGGGAACTTGATGTCTGGCCTGGCCAGGGGAGGAGGGGTGAGCCCCAGAAAGCTCACGCAGCACGGCCGGACTTTATTTATATGTGTACATATGTATACAGGCGGCTGTACAGCACAGGGCCAGCGGCCCCCTCGGCTATGGGCCCGGGGGGGTGGGGCAGGGCACCCCTTTTTTGGTCAGGCCTGCTGGGGGCACAGGTTCAGCAGGGCACCGGGAGGCCAGCCCCACCTCGGGCTTGGTGGCCGGGACGAGGAGGGAAGCGGGTGGGGCTGGGGGCCCTGTGCTGCTCGGTGCACTCTTCGACGGGACTGGGCAAAGGGTCTGGGGGTCCGGGGAGAGCTTGGGGGAGGCGGGCTTGGAGCGAAGCCCGCTCAGCGTGGTCCGCTCCTCCACCACCTCCAGCACCCAGCGCTCCCGGCCCCGGGGGGCTTCAGGTGCCAGAGGGACCAAGGGCATAGATTCCTGCAACCCCTTGGAGTCCGTGCCTGGAGGCTGGGGGGCCTCGGCCTTGGGCCCGGGCCGCAAGGGCTCTACGACAATGGGCACCGGGGGCGTGCCTGCCTCGCCCGAGCTGCTGCGCCGGCCCGTCTCGTGTTCCTGCACTGGGCTCAGCGCCGCCTTGGCCACGGCCCTGGCCGCCCCGCTCATGCCGTCCTCCGTCTGCACGCTCTGGTGTCGCGTGCCGCTGGCGTCCCTCTCCAGGGTCCGGCCCCCGGGGATCGACGCGCGGGGCGGGGTGCAGGCCTCGGCGCCGCCGGGGGACTCCTTCTCCTTACTCGACGCTGGCGGCCTGGGGGCGCCCTCAGGCAGCAGCGGGTCCGCGCCCAGGCTCAGGGGCGACTCCTGGCGGCCCAGGCGGCGGACGGCGACCTGCCGGGGCGCTCCAGGCCCCTCCACGGGGGGCGTCTCGCCGTCCGACTCGGCGAGGCTGTGCAGCGCCAGCTCGCCGTGGAAGTCCTTGCGGAAATCCGGGTGGCCCACCTCGAGGCTGTGTTTGCGCAGCGCGCCCTTCTTGTCGGCGCCCAGCGAGGCCCCCAGCTTCTCGGCCGACTGCACGCGTTTGAGGAGCGGCGAGCGCGGGGGCTCGGCACTCTTGGGGCGCGGGCGCACCACCGGCGGCGACGAGTGCAGCTTGGCCGGGAAGCTCTGCGTCGTGTGCGAGCTGCCCACGGTGTGGCCCGGCAGCGGCGGCGGCGAGGCCTGCGTCGGGGACGGCGTGTGCGCCAGCGGCGACAGCGGGATGTTGCCGGCCGACTTGCAGCGCGCAGAGCGG